TGTGTTTCAGTGGTTCACCATAAACACAGTCACGTTGAGTAAATATATCCTGTCCTCCAGAGGCCATCAGCAACAGTCGGGGCTCTTAAAGCCGGATCTTTATGTGGTTTTCCCTCTTTGTCAGGTTCTTTTGGTTGAGTTAGATTCACTCAAATAGAGCAAATTTCAGTGACTTTTTATGAAGTCCACCTTTACTCGGATCCAGATGACCTCTTTCTTATTCTTTTTTTTTTTTTTTGTTTTTCTCATTTTTATAATATTTTTAAAACTTTTTTTTACATTTTAAAATGTGTTCTTGTGAAGAGCCTCGTGATTTTTATCTTTAGAGGCTCCATGTAAAAGATTGTTTTCCTTCTTTCTTTCTTATTTTATTTTGAAGAATTTCACCCTTTAAAACCTTAAATGTAAAATAATAAATATTATTTGTAAAACTTTAATGATAATGTTAAGTTAAAACCTATATTATAGTTATTTTTTGCATTTTTATCTAAATGGTCTGTATTTAGAGTTACAACCCGTCATTCACCCATTCATACACTGGTGGTGATGAGTCTTTATTTACAGTCTATGAGCTGGGGGGGGAATCCTGCAGCGCCACGATTCATATTTCGACACCCGCCATCAAAATGTTGATGATCGTAACTCAGTGATAGTAAAAACCCAGAAGTTAATTTCTTCTACCCATAAGAAGCCACGGCATCTTTGTGTCGAGAAAAAGTCCAGAGGCTAGTGCTGAGCTAACAATGCTAACGGTGAATTAGATACAAATAGTAAGTGAAATGTGTTTCTCAACTCACGTCTTTGCTTGTCATCTAGAATCGTCTGTCACTGATCAGCAACTGTGATGATGATTCATGAACAGGAGGAGAGGAGTCATTCCTTTGTTTAGAAAAATTTACTGCAGTTCCCAAATCTGACCACAGGATACATTCTTTCTTTATTCTTTCGATACGCACCTTTGCATTGGAATAAATAAAAATATTATGCTTAGGATACAAAACTGCTCCAATACATGTTTATACTCTGCAGCAATCGTGTTCTTTCGTGAAATTTTAAATGCAAACTCTGGAGATTTGCAGTTGTTTGCTGCGTCCTGGCCCCAGGGGTGTGTCACCAGGGGTAAAAGAGGGCATTCGGCATTCAGTAGCTAGAATTAACCTTCATAATCAATAAAATGAACAGTTGGAAAATTAATATAAGTCCAAACCCCTTTTTAATTTCCCTGCAAATCAGCAGTTTTGCAGATAGTCAGTCATCAAATTTACAGATAAATTAGACTAAATTACTCAAATTAATAGACAAGCCTACCATGTAAAGCTTTAAGAGTGCAGGCCATAATTTCCATTTTTGTCTTTATTCTCGTTTTATTTTGTCATTTGTTTTCCAGCTTTGGTTTGTGTTCCCGAGCGCGGCTGTGTCTGCAGCTCACCGCTCCCCCGGGGGATGGGTCAAATGCGGAGAACAAATTTCGCACACACACCTGTGTGTGTGACAACTATGGGACTTTGACTTTGGACTTTGTCCTAATTGTCTGCTCAAAGCACCTCATAGCGCAATACTCAGCTCCACCAGTAGGTGGCACTATCACAACAGAAAATGAAGTACATATCCTGTTTTAAACATTATAATTAAATAAAATGAGAACAAATAAACACATTTTACTGCAACAGCTACATGTATGATTTCAGCTATATCAGTGAGTGTGTGTGAATGAGGGAGGAAGAGACAGCGAAAGGAGATCCAGCAACTTCTAGCATGCTTGCTAGCTGGTTTTTGTAGCAGGGGCTCAAAACAGTGATGCTGATAGGCCAAATATTCTTCAGTTCTCCATAGCAACCGAACATGATTGGCTGTGTAACTGCAGCTCAGGGGCGCTTTTCCCAGGAGTGATATTATTGAGTCTGTTGGAGGAAATTCATTGTTTAATGAGACAGCTGCTGAAAATGAATGAGATTGCATGTAACTGCACACAAAACTGACAGATGAAGTAAACATTCTGTACCTGTGTATATATTGTTGTTTTCTTTACCTTTGTGATCATTTTCTCCGCTCACGTCAGGGAGGGCAGCACCCTAGCGCCCCCATGGACGAACCAGCACTGCAGCAGCAGAAGTCTATCCATATTTTGTTAGCTTTAGCGTTTAGTGTACCTTGTTTATAATCTATCACCTTGTCCTTTCTTCTATAACTTACCCAAACAAACCTTCTACAAGTCAAAGTTAATACAGATAATTAGTTTAAGGAAAAAAAAACCAAACAGTTTCTAAGTATTCCATGTTTAAGCCCAAAAAGTTGTGAGAAATTTAACAGGTGATGATGTTTGGTCATAAACAGCCATCATGGGAGGTGACGAAGCTGCTAGCCTTCGGGGTTTCACAATTCTTCCTGCAGGAACACCTTTCATCAGGTTATTACCAAACATGAGCTGAATTATAAATTGTAATTGACATGAGTGGAAGCCTAATGCTTTGTCGATAAACGCCTCCACCCCACCCCGTGAGAGGAGCATCTGGGTGAACAAATAAATCACAGAAACTCAACGGCACTCTAAAGAAAAGCTAATTAAGTCTCTCCTCGTGTGGCTGGCCGACAGCGGGAGTTTTGCCGTTTAATTCCATTGTGATTATCCCTAGCTTCTTCGATTGTCAAAAGCTCAAAACAGGATTGATTAGCTGCCCCACGTTTTAAGAAGGCTACCAGTGAGGCCAAACTGCTCTGTGGCTTATTAATGCAAGACTGCTTAGAATGAGCTGCACAGGAGCCAATCTGCACCCAGCTTATTGTTAGAACTCACACAGTGTCCCATTATAAAGAAAAGTGTTGGAGCATGTAAATTAAATGGGATCAGCAAATCCCATAATTCCCAGAGACTGCAGTGGTGGCTGATGCCTGGTGGCCCAGCTGACCATTGAGTTGGTTCTGACAAGCTGGATCACTTTGATTTCTATCACCGTTGGGAACATTTCATAAGTGGACTCTACTGTCTACTGTTGGAAGCAAATTAAATGAAGAGTTCATTAATGAGAGAAGTAAAGTCGATTAGATCAGTTTGAATATATAAAAGACTCAGGAAGTTCATAAACTAGCAAATTATTCTAATAAATTAAGCAATAAGAATAATAAAGTGATGCATTTGTCCATATTCATAAATAAAAAGACTTGATTTATTTGCATTGTTTACATTTCTGCCAATTTCCACAAGAACAACCTGCTCATCATTTTCAAATGTGAACAAATTTTCACATTTTGTTTTTATTGTTATGCCATTTTATTAACTTCTATTTTTCATCTATATTCATTCTTGTGTATATTTTGTTTTATTAGTTGAGTGACGTGTTTATGAATCAAAATGAATAAAAACACACAAAAAAATTTGTGAAAGGAAATGTGTGAAAAAGTGATTTATACTAATTTATAGGTGGTAAAAAAAAATTCTAAATGCTTTGAAATATTTAAAATCGTATTTGAAAAGGCAACAAATATAAAGAAAAATGTTTAAAAATGTGTATTTTTACAAAATTTCAATTTTTTTCTCCATATTTTAAACTAATATTTACCAAGTTAACCGTCATTAGTTGGTGTATTTACTCAGTGGGTGTGTGCCTTTCCTGTTTTATCACTGTTTTAACTGAGGCCACTTTTTAAATTGCACCTATGTTTAGTTTTGGCAGTTTCAGTTTTCCTACAAAGCCACACACACACACACACACACACACACACACACACACACACACACACACACACACACCTGAAATCAGGTCATCCAACTCACACTGATGCAATATTTCCATAGGTGCTTTTTTGACAGCACATCCCATGATCTCTATCTGGGACAAAGAGTTATTCAGGAGGGCATCATCTATCATGAATGCACAGGCTGTGAGTGTGTTTTGCAGGACACACACACACACACACACACACACACACTGAGAATGAGAGGGTAACTCGGCTGCTTAAACACACTCTTGCAGTACCAGAACCCACCAACAGAGGTCACTTATTTGTCTTTCCTGTGTGTGAATGGTAACATCAGCACTTACATCTTCAGGCTGCTCAGCTTACCCACACTGACCTAGACTCCACAAATAATCACACATATTCACTTGTACACGTCGGAAACAACACAGATCTGGTTAGAGACGAATGTCCCGGTGTGAGTGAGGAGCTAAAAACACCATGCAGCTGGTATTGGGTGACTACAGCAAAAATATCTTCCTGTTGACGTAAACTGCTAAACTAAAGGGCTGCACGTGATGTTTTAAAGAATTAACTGTTTGCTGATGCAGCAGGAAGAATTACAATAATGACTTTATTTACATGTAAACATGAAATAATAAATGTTTAATTCAGCCCAATGTATTGCCTTTAATTAAATGACATAAAACATTTTGTTGTCATTTGGTTCACATATGTACACCAAACTCAACCAGTACTATGTAAATTTTCATGCTATTTCCTTATTTGTGCTACATTTAGGGTTGTACTGAAAGCTGCTGGTTATCTAAGCTGTTGTAGATCATTTAAAGTTAAAGTCCCATAGTCGTCATCACACACTGGTGAAATCCATCTTCATTTTACCCATCCCCATGGAGGGGGCGGTGAGCTGCAGAGTGGCTGCGCTCAGGGACTATTCTGTGGTTTGACCCCCAATCCAACCCTTAAAGCTGAGTGTCAAGCAGGGATTGGCTCCCTATTTTACAGTCTTTGGTGTGACTCGGGGTCCTGCGTCTGCAAATTACGTCACAGTAAATGATTGGCTGAATGTAAGACTTACAGAAGTTACGACACCACGTTCGTAAAAGTTATGTTAGCATGTTGACAATGATGATTTTGATTGGTCAGAACAAATTTACGGTTGTAGTCTTAGCGGCTGTAGTCCAAAAATCAACTTTTCTGAGAAAATATTTGAATTTCCAAAGGAAATGTAAAATAAAAGTAAAGATATCAACTGATGAACGGTGACCCTCAAAAGCTCTTGATTTTGATGAAACGGGGCAAAATAAACTATACGAACTTTATTGAAAAACACCAAGCGACATTTTGAATGAATGTATTTACATGACAACTAAGGAAATATACAGACAAATTCCACATTAACACAAACAGATATGGCTTCACATGTAAGAACTGTTGTGTTTTTTTGTCAGTCTGATGTTGGTTTTATGTGGTTTCACATCCTTTACAAAACAAAGATAATAGGGTATTTTATTAACAAATTACAAATATAAAGAAATCATTTAAGTGGTAACGAACAAGAATTTATTAACAAAACTGCTGATGTCTTTCCAAAACGTATGTGTGAAAGCCGAGTGGATTTGCCGTAATGTGACATCACCAGCAGGCGCAGGACTCCCAGCAGATCTGGCACTGACACTGGAAATCGAACCCCGGTCTCCCAGTCCCAGGGCGGACATGCTACGACTTGGCCACTGAGCTGGTTTAGTTTATCATCAATTCTCTAGAAATGTGTAAAATTAAAAAAGTCAAACAGTCTGTTCAATACAAACAGTCTAGTATTTTTTTCTTGATTTGAATATAAATAAGAGGTCATTTGAAATAAAAAAAATGTTTATATATATATATACATATATATATGTATGTATGTATGTATTATATTATATTGTTACTCTCCAGGCTGTCTAGGGGGGACAATTGAGGACACATATTCTCATGTTAAAAGTAACAAAACAACATTTACATAAATATAAACACTAAACACAAATTAACAAGACACATCAGCAGCATCGCAAATCGAGTAACAACTAAACCCTCATATTAACCAAATTAATACAAAACTACGAAAGACCATCACAATTTCCCTTTTACTGAGTGAAGTCTTCATAAAAGCAAGCGAAGGGGTAAAGGACACTTTTCCCCTAAAAAGGCTGACGGTTAAACACAGAGTTTTAAGCTACCACCAAAGTTGTTACATAAAACTTAACAAAACCAAAAGCTGCTGAGGGGGCAGCAGGCCAGAGAGAACCTCACTGGCCTGCTGCCCCCTGAACTGAGGGCCGGCTGACTTTTATGCTGCTGGCCTGCTGCTGGTCATCAGGATCAGCTGGGAGAGTCTAACTGGGAGGCAATCTAGTGAGATTGGAGCCAGGTGCTGCATCTCCTCTCTCACACACACACACACACAAACACACACACACACACACACGCAGGGAAAACCCCAAATGACCCTGAGCCATAACATATACCGTATATTAGCTAACATTTCCATCAGGTGCTTAACTGGATGTTTGGGTGGGACTTCAAACCTTTTTCAGTTTTGTAGCAAAAATAATTTGTCAATCGCTTTGTCAAAGTACTCAATGTTGTTTTATTTTTTCCTGTTCAAATTCCAACAAGAACATTGAATTCACGCAAGTAAAATTAGCTCAAACATTTTTATTTACCACCTTTAAAAGCTTTATATTTTTTAAACCTGGAATTATTTTAGATCACCTAAAACCACTTCACATATTTATTATTCATATCAAACAGTACTCATTTATTTATCTAATTATCTATTTATCTAGTTGTTTAACAGACAGCGTCAGTCTGATCGACCTGCAGCTTTGACCCAATGAGTGGAACATTTAAATCAAGACGAGGTCTTCCTAATCCTCCTGCTGATCCGAAACTCCGCCCTCTGCTGTTCTTTCCACTGACTTTCGCCCACCTGATCCCTGTGACCTGAATACAATGAAGTGGGTGCTGAGCTGTGACTGAATGCACACCCCCGGTGCCCTCTCTCAAGCACCAAGACTGACAAGTAATCAGCTCCCAAATGTAGACCTGTGAATTCTTTAGCGCGAGCCGAATCACTCCTCTTGACCCCATTTAGGAATCACTTGATTTTCCATTTGATTCCAAGCAAACCGAGTAATGGTCTCGTTCGTTCAGTGGATGTTTTAGGTAAAAGTCTGATTTGTGACAATAACACACACACAAACACTCGTGTTGAGACGTTTTCTCCTCACGAGGGTTTCAGATAGTTATAGAGAGCACTGAGTCCTCCTTGCAGTACCTCCTGGATGGGCTTGAGGAGGGGGTTGTGGATGATGTGAAGTCCTTTGTCCAGGGGGTGGCAGGCCAAGCGCCCGAGCCTGCTCAGGTGGTACAGCTCCACAGGAACACTTTGAAGCTCATTAAAGTCGACGTTGAGCAGCTCCAGAGACTCTAGGAAACAAAGAGTCTTCGGCAGAGTGTGTATGCTGTTCCCCTCCACGATCAGGATCTTCAGGTTCACCAGGTTCTGGATCTGGTCTGCAATGGTCTCCAGGTGGTTGCAGGCCAGGTGGAGGAAGACCAGGCCCCTCATGCTGTAGACGCAGGCCGGGATGTGAGCGATGCGGTTGTGACTGAGGTTGAGCTTGTTCAGATTGTGCATGGCTGCGAGGCTTCCGGGCAGACTCGTGATCAGGTTGTTGGCCAGGCTCAGCACCTCCAAGCGGCTGCAGGAGCCCAGCTCCTCCGGGACCTCACTCAGGCGGTTCCGACAAGCAAAGAGCACGCGGAGCTTCTTTAGGAGGCCGATCTCGGGGGGGAGACAGGACAGGTTATTGCCCCATAGATTTAGAACCACCAGATTGTCCAGAGCACCCAGAGAGGGAGGCAGGGAGCAGAGACAGTTCATGGACAAGTTGAGCTTCTGGAGCTCCCAGAGCTCCCACAGCTCCGTGGGGGGTTCATCCAGCCCTCGCATGGCTAAGCTCAGGGTGCTGTAGCCAAAGTGCACCGTTGTGTATTTGCGGATCCTGTCAGCAGCTGAGGTGAAGCCGGTCAAGTCTTCTCGAAGCGTGCTCTTCCTCCTTTGGCGTGCGCAGACATCACTCAAATCCTTGCTGGACGAACGGCGGGACTGCTTTCCACCCATCTCCTTGGCAGGGCTGATGACTCTGGCACCTACGACCGCGTGACATTAACTCAACTCTTGGGGACATTGGGAGGACTGCTAATGACATCATCAGCCCCTGTGTGGTCTGGCTGCTGTCAGAGCCGACCCCTGCATTATGGACTCCCGCGGTCTGCTGTCAACTGCCTTACTCGCCGGCTTTCATTCCCCAGCTGGTCCTGTCACTTTTCAGGTCCACAGATAGCCCCCAGGTCCCCACCCACCTAAAGGCAGGCTGGGGAGCCGATAGGACGCTGGGTGAGCTCAATCATTTGGGTCAGTGTTGTGACACCCAGCACTCAGAAATAAACGCGCATCATTCTAAAGATGCCAATAAACGAATTCCAGCGGCTCTTTAGCTTAATACCAATTTAAATATTTAACATGGCACCCGTTTTTCACTGAGTCTTTAAAAGTAGCTCTTAGAAACATGAAGCTGCTCAGACTGAAGTGCAAAAAGGACATAGGAGCTTATTCCTAAAAACTCTGCTGCTATTTAAAGCCCCACTTATGCTTTCCTCACAGGAAAGGTTTCCTTTTCGTTACGCTGAAGTACATTTACAGTTTTGAATTTGTCTTTCCCCGCAGCAACTCAAACACAGCTCCCAATGCAGGTTTCCCCTCAGAGATATTTTAAGGCACTTACCCGTCTTCACTGCTTCAGGCTATTAGTTCAGGTTCGTTTTAGAATTTCAAACAAGATTTAAATAATTATAAAGCTGTTATGTCTTCCTCGTTTATTCAGTCAGCCCTTGAACAATCAATCATTGTTAGAAATGTCATCAAACATCATCTCTCATGTTGGGGAAAGGACTCAAGGTTAGGTCGAGGTCTGGAGGAAGATTTCAAGTGTTACGCTTAAAGGCTTGTTAGGCAGACGCTTTGAATTTGGAAGAAGATTCTGCGATCTCTGAAAAAATTTGACCTGTGACCCCATGAAGCATCATCCTGCATCAACGTGTGCAAATGTGGTGTAAAAAGTTTGCAAATGAACGCTTTAAAATGTCTGAGATTGTTGGGAGTAGATCTTGGGAACCGGTAAACTTGTTTGCTATGATTTGGTGCAAAGCTTTCATGACAGGAGCATTCTCTGTCTGTTCAGATAGAAGGTTCATTGGGCATGTGAAGTACCAGCAAGTCAAACACTCATTTTCTAAAAGCAGAGGTTCACTGAGAAACCATGTGGTACTTGTTCTTTTTAAAATATGGTCATCAGTCAGAGTTTCACAAGCATGCTGAACACGAAAATAGTCCTCGGCTCCCATGTCCTGTGTTAGCATGCAGAAAGGAAAGAGATGGGGAAATGCTCGGGTCAGAAAAGCCTGTCTCTTGTGCGTCAAAGGGAACAATTTGCATTGGTAAATGGTAAATGGCCTGTATTTGATATACAGTAGCGCCTTCTATAGTAATGTAACCCCCATAAGGCGCTTTACAACACAATCAGTCATTTACCCATTCACACACACACATTCACACCCTGGTGAGGATGAGCTACGATGTAGCCACAGCTGCCCTGGGGCACACTGACAGAGGCACTGGCACCACCGGTCCTTCCGACCACCACCAGCAAGGCGGATTAAGTGTCTTGCCCAAGAACACCATGACACCGACAAACTGCGCGGGGCTCGAACCTGCAACCTTCCAATTACAGGGCGAACACTTAACTCCTGTGCCACTATCTACCCATGACATTCATGGCCCTGCCCACCTTGGCTTGGGACCACAGAAGGCTGTTGTTGATTTTGTGGCTAGGCAAAAGCAGAGAGCATCTTGGCTACTAGAAGCTAACCGTTAGCATTAGCAACTCCACAACATGGCGGAACTCAGGATTGTGTTATTTGTGGAGATAAAACATCAACATTGCACTTTTTTTACCCAAGAAAGAAGAGCAAGAGAAAGCAGCAGAAGAGTCAAGTTGCTGTCAGTCAAATAGGTGTTCGCATATCAGAAAACAGAATCAGACAGATCAGAGGTGAGCGTCAGACGACAGGATTTAGTTTTATTTCCCGACATTTGGACATCTTACTTCTGATTGGCTAGCAGCAACACAACCACTGACTCTATTTGCTCTGCAATACTGGTGTTTTATCTCCACAAATAACTCAAGCCTGAGGGAGTTCTGCTGTGTGGTGGGGCTGCCAATGCTAACGGTTAGCTTCTACTAGCCGAGAAGTTCTCTGCTGTTTCCTGGATGCTAAACCAACAACAGCCTTCCTGTCATGAGTCAAGATGGGCGAGTCTCTACTCTCAAAAATAATTAAAAAAAAAAACTCAGTGAATGACTATAATCAAAAATAAGATTTTAAAATGTTTCTTCAACGTTGCACAACTTTGAGGAATCAAGCTCATCAATATTTATTCACCACCATTTTATTCCATCATTACCCCTCCCCCCAGTCACTCAGTCTAATGTCAACTTGTATGTTGTTTTCTGGTCAGATTGTTTTAATTTTATTATTAGAATAAATAATTTTGCAAGAATAGAAGGTTCTGGGTTTGCTTCCCGTCCTGGGATCTTTCTGCATGGAGCTTGCATGTTCTCCCTGTGCATGCGTGGGTTCTCTCCGGGTACTCCGGCTTCCTCCCACAGTCCAAAAACATGACTGTTAGGTTGATTGGGCTGTCTAAATTGTCCTTAGGTGTGAGTGTGTGTGTGTGTGTGTGTGTGTGTGTGTGTGTGTGTGTGTGTGTGTGTGTGTGTGTGTGTGTGTGTGTGTGTGTGTGTGTGTGTGTGTGTGTGTGTGTGTGTGTGTGTGTGTGTGTGTGTGTGTGTGTGATTGTTTGTCCTGTGTGTCTCTGTGTTGCCCTGCGATGGACTGGCTCTCTGTCCAGGGTGTACCCCGCCTGATTGCCCGTTGACCGCTGGAGTCAGGCGCCAGCCCCCTTAAGGCTGTAGGATTGTGGATACATTCATTTATTTTCTGAGCTCCTCATGCTTCGCACAGGTTTTATAATTATGCATTTTCAAGTGAAGAACGTTAATGCTGGAAGCCAGAGAATATGGAAATTCCTGCTAAAATGTCTTATTTTTTTCTAAACCCAAAAAGACAAATTAAGGATTCTACAATCTTTACATCATGTGACACTCTTACCATAATAAAAATAATAATGATGATTTAGCACATTAGCAAAGATTGGATACATTATGGTCATTTTGCAAAAATATTGTTTATTAATGTTGTTATTTACCAAAGCACAGCTGACATTTAGCAAGAATTTAACTATTGCAATAGTTTAATCTTTTTTTTTATTAGAAATGAAAGAAAATCTGCGGTGTGGAGTTTAAACACCAGTCCAGACTTGATCCTCTTCTCTTGACAGCCTCGTGGAGTCTGACCAGGACTAGAAGCGGCCTTAGTCATCATTCTTTCCCCAGTGCAGTAATCAAAGTACAAGGATGACAGTTAGCAGTGATATCCACCTCTGGGGACTTTGTGGCTCTGCTTTGAGCAAGGCTACATCAGCACTTATGAGTGATGGGTTCAACTGCATCTCTGCAGAATTGGACATCAGAGCTGCTGAGGTGCATTGACCATCCAAGCAGCCGTGTGTCTCGTCTCTTGGATCCTGTTTTCTTTTTTTAAATTAAATGTCAATATCTTCACTTCAAAATAGAAAATGGCTGACTGCTGGATTTTTGGTGTATCATCGGTGAATTTATACACAAGCGGCACTTTTATTTTAGTTATTTTTTGAAAATCTGCACTGCGGATCTTGTATAAACGCGTGCCTTTGCAAATTTCACAAACAGCGGGGATAGCTATATCCTGCCATCAGCTTTTTACATGAAAGGTAATATTCAAGTTGTAACCATCAGAGCTGTTCGACGAGTAAAAACATCCCAGGGTTCAGAATAAATGCAGCAAGTATACAGAAAAGCCCTCACATGCACATTCTTACAACACGTATCGACGCTAAGAGCTGAAATGTATATAAATGAAGAAATGCAGAGCATGATGGATACCTCACAGTTCTGCAACACTTTGATTCTTTCTGTGAAGTGAATCTTCATCAACTGCTCCTTTTTCTCCTCCCCAATTAATCAGCTCTTCAGCAACAGATGGGTGAAAACAGCTTGAGATTTAAATGACAAGAAAATGGGATTGTCCATTCCTCCTGCATTCACACAACACCTTAATACCAAGTCCCATTAGCACCAAATGAAGATGAGTTATTCAACTTGAAAGGAGTTACATCCTCCCGTCCTCAGGGTGGCAAAAATGATCTCATTTGAGAAAGCTCATCTAGTTATGTGGCCCCATAATGACTCTGGATGAGCTACCTTTAGAGACTCCACTTCAAGATATATACCATTATCAGTTCTTCATTACTTTGGAGGCTTCTGGCAGTGACAGATGATGTATGGCCTCATTGCTGGAGGAACTGCCATAGGAGTCTGTTTCAAGTCGAAATGTTAGGAGCACCTGCCAAAGCCTGCAGCTCTTCAGAGTCTGCGGGAGACACATTACTCCCAAGAATTGGAGAATGCATTTCTTTTTTAGGTAGAATACCAGAAAAGATTCATTCTGACTAACAAGGTTTGTGCATTTGGTCGATCTTTTTAGAGAAAATTAGCACCAAGAGAAGCAGAGAATGCATGTGAGCAGAGAAGCACCTGAGCTGATAATCGTCTATTATTCAGCAGCTGCAGATGTGAATATTCACACCAGTGGACACTTTTCATTTGTGCACATGCAGGTATCCCCACAGCTAATGGAGTCGGCGGTGAGGCAGGACGTGTTTGTCAGAAACGGAAGAGATGTCACACATTTGAAGTGCCATCTGGAAATTGGCTGCAACGCCCAAGCCTCCAGGTGACACAAAGGACTCAGCCATGCAAATTAGCAGGGAGGAGTGTCCGCCACGCCGAGCCTGCTCGGAGGCTGGATATCAGGCCAAGAACATTTCATTTTAGTGTTTCAAATGTTCACTCCTTCACATGATTGGACACACTGGAGATCCCCCCCTGGCTGCTTGTGCAAATTTCCAGCCTAGAATTAAAGCTGCTTTTAACATATTCAAACAGCACCTTTGAATATTTTTCACCCTCGTATGGGTGAGTGAAGCACCTCCGCCGAGCGTTTTTAATCATTCTAATCTCCTACTTCAGGCCACGCGCCAGGTACGTGTAGCTGGATCTGAACCAGAGCAGCCAGATTCATCCTGAGATTCAGTAAACTGGGACAACATGATGAATAGATAATAAAGGCACCCAGGAGACAGAAGTATCCGGGTTAACTCCACCGTGTAAAGACACCATTTGTAACGATGGCTGGAATGGAAGTGAGCAAAGCTAGCTGGGCTCCAAAGTGACCAAATCATTCGTGACTTTGCTGATGCAGCAGATGAGAAGTACAAACCAATTGTGGCGGTGACAACAACAAGCAGGGTGATGAAGCACCACAGAACAGCCAATCTGGGTCTCACCTACCTGCAGCTGGAGGCTACCAAGCTTGGAGCAGAAATAATCGAACAATCAGCACAGTTTCAGTCCAATCACCGAGATAAACGGTCACTTAGAGACGTCCGCTTGATTCACTGATTAAGAAATGTGGAGAGTGACGAGAGCCAACGTCTCTCCTCCACAGAGGCTCGTCTGGAATTCTTGAAACTTTATTATGACTAACGTTACCTGATGGAAACCACAATGGAAAATATAAAAATATGCATTTTTTGGAAGTTAATAAAAACTGAATTGTTGTCTTTGCAAAGGAACTGTTCACATACGGCTATTCGGGACTTTTAATCCATCTATCCATCCGCTTATCTGGGGTCGGGTCACGGGGTCAGCAACCGAAGCAAAGAGGCCCAGACTTCCCTCTCCCCAGTCACTTAGGCCAGCTCCTTGGGTAATCCCAAGGTGTTCCCTGACTGGACAAGAGGAAAACCTCACCAGGGAGGCATCCAGGAGGCATCCTGACTAGATGCCCAAGCCACCTCAACTGGCTCCTCTCAATGTAGAGGAGCAGCGGGTCTGCTCAGAGCCCCTCCCGGATGACCGAGCTTCTCACCCTATCTCTAAAGGAGAGCCCAGCCACTCTTCGGAGAAGACTCATTTCAGCCACTTATATCCGTGATCTCATTCTTCCAGTCACTACCCAAAGCTCGTGACCATAGGTGAGGGTTGGAACGTAGATCATTTAAGAACTTTGCCTTCTGGCTCAGCTCTCTCTTCACCACAACAGACCGGTACAACGCCCGCATTACTGCAGACGCACCTCCAATCCACCTATCGGTCTCACGCTCCAGCTTTCCCTCACTCGTGACCAATACTTTAACTCCTCCACTTGGTGCAGGACCTCGTCCCTGACCCAGAGAAGTCATTCTACACTTTATTGACTCACGACTATGGTCTCGGATTTAGAGGAGCTGATTCTCATCC